TTTTTTTTCAGGGGTGATTTTTCAAAAATTTATTTTAAAAAAAGTACTAACTAGCAAATGTTTTTTATTAGCTCGCAATTTTCTTCAAAACTACTTCAATGAGGAAAAAAATAAAAATTTGGAATATCTATACATGAGGGGCTAATTGGTCGGATCTCTCCAGAATGCATTTCTCCCCCCAATCACTCCAATTTTTCGCATCCTCCCCAATAATTCCCGGGAACCCACCCCCGAGCAAATCATTTCGCAAAAAAATTCAATTCTTTTTCTCTTCTCTCGCAATTTATTTTCAACAAAATAAATTCTTCTATTCAGTAAAAATTTTTTACCACAAATTATCTCGCCAGAGCACTGTGTTCAATTCGGCGTGATAATGCGTGAGGACTGATTATTCGTCGAGTGCTTGATGAATAAAAAATAGAATATATAAGAGCCTCGAGTATTGATTTATAGAAACCGCATGTTACACCCCTGTCGGCACCGAGGGAGGTGCATTGGCGCAAAGGGAGAGGGGCTGAGGGCCCTCTCGTCGCACGTGCCCAAGTAAACACTAGCGAAAAAACCGCAGCGAAGTGTCCCGAGCTCAACAAAATCCTCGCGAAACGTTGAATTCAATCTTGACCGATTGCACAAGGCCTCGTAATTACACCGTCCCAACATGAATGCCTCCACTCCCACAGTTCTTATTTACCTCTCATCCTAGAGCATTCACAAAAGAGCAACAAAAAGAATTAAAAAAACAGGAGAAAAAAATCCAACGCTGAAAGCTGATAACTAAACCGCAGGAGCGGAAAAAATGGAGGAAATAGAATCCCTGGAGTGTTGGGTTTAAATATAGCGCAGGAAAACTGTGCTGAGTCGTCAAAGCATCACCGGAGGGTCTTATCGGGCGTCAGGAACGACCGCAGAACCGAGAGACAAATGAAAAAGGATCTGATAAGAGTCAAACCTGAGCGTTTAGTGGAGCAGTGCTGATGACAGGGACAATGGACTTTCTTCGTGCATGTGCACTCACTCCATCACTTGACATTGTCACTCTCACCCGTATTATCACTCCCACGCCCCGTCTTTACCCTCAACCCTTTGAAGAAGGTCAACTCACAAAAATAATAACAAACAGAGCATTAACTCAATCGTCAACAAATAGACAAACAACTCAATTGTCAATTCGTCGTCGTAAATTTGAGGAAAAAATAGAGGAAATAAAATTGCTGGAGAGGTGGGTTTGAATGTGGCCCAGGAAAACTGTGTTGACTTGTCAAAGCATCACCGGAGAGTCTTATCGGCCATCAGGAACGACCGCAAAACCGAGAGACAAATGAAAAAGGATCTGATAAGAGTCAAACCTGAGCATTTGGTGGAGCAGTGCTGATGACAGGGACAATTGCAGCAGTGTCCTGACTTCCTTCGTGTATGTGTACTCACTCCATCACTTGACATTGTCACTCTCACTCGTTATTATCACTCCCACGCCCCGTCCTTACCCCCAACCCTTCGAAGACCGTCAACTCGCGGGAATAATAATAAACCGGGCATCAACTCAATCGTCAATCCGTCATCGCGAATTTGCCACAGAGGAACCGGTGTTCAGTCTAGGCCTTGCGAACGCCAATTGAATCGATAAAAGCCTTGACAATACACCGACATCACACCACTGCTAGCTGTTGACACTTCTTCTCTGTTCTGTTATGTTATTTCACTCTCAACATGACGATAGAACTGGCGACACTGCATGAATCCCCCGGTTGGGTGCATTGAAGCGAGAGAGCGTTATGCTATCACCCACGAACGTTAACAGCCCGACGCCATTTTTAGGTCTGCGCGGGTGAGGGCAACTGATGGTCCGCCAATCCCGTGAGTCTCGTGTCATAATCCCCGGTGGAGGGGGCACAGCGGTTACACGTGACTCGCGCCGCATGCTTCGCGGGGGCTACTTTGGAATTAAAATGATCCCGGGGACTTTGGCCATTATAAAACGGTTTATTTAAATTCCATTGGGCCATGTTTGTAGAACCTTTTCTTCGGAGCGAATAGAGAGCTGCAAAAGACATTATAACAAAAATATTGCATCTGGCTTAGCTTCCGAGATGTTCATTGAGCGTTTCCTTTTAAATGAAGTAGACGTTCTCTTCTCGATCGTATGTTTTCAAATCAGTAGCGAAGTGGTAAAACGGTTCAAGTCGATCTTCACTCTTGGCCAGTTTTTAGTGAATATCTCGGAATCTAAGGGAAATAGCTAAATTTTTGTTGAAACTTTTTTTGTAGCACTCAATTTGCTCAAGAAAAATGGTTATTACGAAAATTCCATTATCTCCTTTAGATTCGGAGATATTCTTCAATAACTCAATTAAGAGATAAGGTGACTTAAAAGCCGTTTTACCACTTCGCTACTGAAATGTTGGAAATTCCTTTGAGTCATGTTTCGGTCAGCAGCAATAAGCAACACGAAAAAATGTAACAAGTTCAATCGCACTCATCGTCAGGTGCATTTTTATTCAAATTTACAAAATAACCGACAACAAGTTCATTGACAATTCATCTTTAGCTGTCATCTGAAGATTTAAACAGATATCCTGTCATGTCGAACGGATGAAGTCCGGCTGAACGTCTGATGTCTGTTTATATCTTCAGATGTCAGCGGAGAATGAATTATCGATGAACTTTTTGTCGGTTAATTTTTAATTTTGAATAAAAATGCGCCTGAAGAGGAGTGCTTTGTGCATTCGAAACGCAGTGCAATTGAACTAGTTCCTTTTTTTCGTGTTGATTATTGCTGCTGATCGAAACATGGCCCAAAGGAATTTAAATCATTTGAAAACATACGATCGAGAAGAGAACGTCTACTTGATTTAAAAGGAAACGGTTTACGATTTTCACTATTGGTCATTTGTCAATGAATATCTCGGAAGCTAAGGCAGATAGCAATATTTTTGTTATAATGTCTTTTGCAGCTCTCTATTCGCTCGAAAGAAAAGGTTGTTACAAAAATTTCGCTATCTCCCCTCGATTCGGAGATATTCCTCGAAAACTCAGCTGAGATGAGCCGATTCAAATTGTTTTACCGCTTCGCTACTCATTTAAATAATTTATCTATGAGGCGTTCCAACGTATTTCAACGGTGAATTTCGTTGAGTCAGGAATTCGCAAACTTTTGAACATTTATATCTCAATAATCCCCTTTAATCGCCTTTTATGTGGAAAAACTCAAAAGGGCTTTATTGTCGGGAAAGGATGGTTAGTTATTAAAAAAACATCGCTCGGAAAAAGTTGAGATTATTGCAACTTTTTAAATAAACAATTATAAAAACCGTTATGTGTTATGTGAGTTGCACCTTGAAAAATTTGAAAAAAATATATGTTGTGCGAAATATTGTTGAGAAAGCTGTGTAAAAATTGTTTGTTTAATGACATTTACTGATGGTTGAGATATGAATTTTTTCATCACGCTGTAACGAAAAGTGAACTTTTCGGCACGCTCCGCGTGCCTAAAAGTCCAATTTCCGCCACATTGTGATGAAAAATATTGTTCGTAACTCCTGAAAAAATGTTTTTTAGCTCGTGGGATTATATCACTCGCCGCTCTACAAAAAAGGTCATGACAAAAATCTTTCTGTCTCTTTTTTTGCACTTGTTACGAAATATACTATTTAATAATAACCCATAGCTGGGTTATTATACAACTCGGTGAGGGTGCCTGTCAGATTGTCTGGAGTGGATTTGTGGTGGTTGGGAAGGGGGCTTGGGGAACGGGGTTTTTTACTTTGTTGGAGGAATTCAGGGGATCCGGATTTTTATATCCGTCGTTTGTATGCTCCACATATACTAGAATGTTCGCTGCGGGGGTACTTCGAGCGTGAAAAACACGAGATTCTGCGGATCATCGTCGTTATTGATGCGGGTTTTTACCTAGATTTTTTGCTTGGATCAATTATCGTCGGGTGATGGGGGACAATTTAAAATGGAACGAGTGAATTTCACTTTGGAAAGGATGTTTGTTGGAAATATCCAGGTATCGAAGGGAGATGGTGAAATTTTTGTAAATGACCTTATGTAGAACTCATTCAGCTCTATAAAAAGTTCTTTACGAGAATTTTTCTATCTTTGATGGATTTTTACATTTTTGTCGAGAATTGAATTTTTATCCGGAAAAATTATCAGTTGAATTATCACAAATTGTCAGTTGAATTTCGCGTAGGATATGCAAAATAACGTCAATTGGTGCAATCCTTGCAATTGGAGTGAAGTGTAGATAAGAAAAATTATCCCCGTGAGCTGAAAAACGATCCCATACCTTCCCTTTCTCACCGTTTATTTCGGGAGTCCCTTAATTCGATTATATAAACAATTCTATTGATTCCCCCGAGGTATCAGGAAGCCCCTTCAGTACCCAACCAGACCCCCTTATCTGTCAAGCCCTTCGCGCATCTGGATCGAGTGATCAATACCAATTCCCTCTAATCTTAATCGATTTCATTGATCAATTACACCCTCACGCAAATTGCTGACCACCAAAACCTCTAGATCAAGATCGTCGTTTTTATATAAGTCCCACAACTTTTGAAATATTCGCCAAAAATTACGGGAGTTCTTTAATTCGATTACATCAATAATTCTATTGATTCCCCCGAGGTATCAGGAAACCCTTTACTCATCTGGATCAAGTGATCAATACTAATTCCCCCCAATCTTAATCGATTTCATTGGTCAATTACAGCGGCATGCAAATTGCTGACCTCCAAGACCTCTAGATCAAGATCGCCGTTTCTATACATCTCCCACACCTTTTGAAATATTCCCCAAAAACTGGGTAATAATCTCATACTATCGCTCCTCTCTCACCATTTATTTCGGGTTTTCCTTAATTCGATTACATCAACAATTCTATTGATTCCCTCGAGGTATCAGGAAACCCTTTACTCATCTGGATCAAGTGATCAATATTAATTTCCCCCAATCCTAATCGATTTCATTGGTTAATTACAGCGGCATGCAAATTGCTGACCTCCAAGACCTCTAGATCAAGATCGCCGTTTCTATACATCTCCCACACCTTTTGAAATATTCCCCAAAAACTGGGTAATAATCTCATACTATCGCTCCTCTCTCACCATTTATTTCGGGTTTTCCTTAATTCGCTTACATCAACAATTCTATTGATTCCCTCGAGGTATCAGGAAACCCTTTACTCATCTGGATCAAGTGATCAATACCAAATCCCCCAAACCTTAATCGATTTCATTGATCAATTACAGCATAATGTAACTTGCCGACCTCTAGATCGAGATCTCCGCTCCTATATGTCTCCCACACCTTTGAAAAATTCCCCAAAAACTGGGTAACAATCTCATACTATCGCTCCTCTCTCACCATTTATTTCGGGAGTTCCTTAATTCGATTACATCAACAATTCTATTGATTCTCCCGAGGTATCAAGAAGCCCCTTCAACACCCAGCAAGACCCCCTATCTCTCAAACCCTTCGCCCATCTGGATCGAGAGACCAACACCAATTCCCCCAACCTTAATCGATTTTATTGATTAATTACAGCGTCATCCACTTACCGGCCTCCAAGACCTCTAGATCAAGATTGCCGCTCCTACTGCGACTGATGGAGCTGCTTGCGTGGTAACTCCTCTGTGTCTCCTCCATGGCCCTAGTCGCACTCCTCTTGAATTGCTCCAAAAAACTGTCGATCTGATTTTCAATAGTAGTCGGTGAACTGGCCATTTTTCACCCGGGTCAAGCCCAATGTCAACACCCAAATTTCAGGCTCAACGTTTTCCCTCGATCTCGCTTTATCTCGACACATCGGTCAATTTGGAATAAAAACTACATTTTAAATTGAATGTAACGAGCTCATTACGCGTTGCTAGACCGAGGGAGTGACCGAGACAGTAAACAAGAATAATTGTCCCATTACAAAATATTTATAATCGTCCCGGTGTCCATTGGACATTGAACAATAGCACTGCATGTTTATTGTGACGGAACGTCCGGAACTGGATCGACAAAGCGCCGACGTCCTTGTGCGGGTGGTGGACTCTGGGGTAGGAGGCAGGTGTCGCGTTTAAGATATAACAATTTTATCCGCAGTGCGCATGGGCCCCTCCTCTAACTCACTCGGTTTATCCCACTTCATCGTAAATTGCGCGATACTCTTGCGCCGTGTGGTAAAATACGGATGAGAAATGCTGTCGGGAAGGTAATGACTCTCGGGTTGTCTCGGGTCTTCTAGTCCTCCGACTGCAGGTGATGATTTTGTAATGAACGATTTTTTTTTCATAAGATTTTTTGTTGATGGATGATTGTCGGAAAGGGCTGGGGGAACAGGGCGGAGGGGGATGGTTGGAATAGCTGAGTGTTTTCTGTCGGAGGGACTTTAGTTCCTGAGGCAACGACAGGTGAAGTATGGGAGGGGTGAAGCCGGTGAGGGTCAGTGAATTCCAGCATTTTGAACGGACCCGCATTTAGAGGAGTGTCTGACTTCATCGGTTGATGGCAGCACTCTGCAGGGGTATGAAGAATTTTAAGAGAGAAATGTAGCGTTTTCTTTGAGAAATTCTGTTGAATAGGAATTTATCAAACGCTCCAGACCGAATTTTTACACTGTGATTTAATTGAGAGACATTTGATATACGACAATAGGCGGTGGAACAGATGGGCACGGAAATTTGTGGATATTTTCCTGGATGAGGAGATTCTGATCAAGTGGTTTAACAGGGCTCGGTATTGGAGATATCCGCAGGAAATGTCTTACCAGCCGACATTTTTAGCGCAGCGGCACGGTGAAAGATGGAGGGATGATTCTCATTTCAAGCGGAATTACTAACTGAATCGAACTGGCCATCGGGCAGTAGAATATAATAAGTTGAATCAGCCAGTGGAGAAGTAAATGAGCTATTAGCAACGGGAAAAGGGTTTTGTACGGTGCATTCAGAAATGACGGCGATCTTTTGTACAGTAATCATCAATTTTGGGCGAATTTTTTGCGCACACTCAGAGGCGCCAGAAATATAGAAATGAAAATTTTCTATTTCTGCATTTCTGGCGCCTCCGAGGGTTTCATTACCATTAGAATCGTTAGCAGATGCAGAATCAATCTTCACTCGAGGAAAAAATTCGATTTTGCGGAAAGTCGACTTTCCCCCCGGAAAAATCCAAGATCTGACCCCCTGGCCTGATGTGAAAATGGAAATTTTTTATTTCTGCATTTCTGGCGCCTCCGAGGGTTTCATTACCATCAGAATCGTTAGTAGATACAGAATCAACCTTTACTTGCCGAAAAAATTCGATTTTGCCGAAAGTCGACTTTCCCCCTAGACTAAACTTACCATGCGATCTCTTCCGTTACTCTTTAAGAAGTAATGGGATAACGATACCGTTATGAGATAACGATACCGCTAGGAGATAACGATACCTCTGTGAGGTAACGATACCTCTATGAGGTAACTGTACCCCGGGAAAAATCGAAGTAGAGCCGCCCTCCGCTAGATGCATACATACCAATTGATAGATGGCATTAGCACAGATGCGATGATGACAGTGGCTGAAGAATACAAATTAGTATTTTTCCGGCCTGTTGCGATGGGGTTTTTTACTCGTGTGGCGTTGGCCTCCGAGCCGTAGGCGAGGACTGGCCAACCACACGAGTAAAAAAACCCCATCGCAACAGCCCAGGAACAATATTTTTCTGTAGTGATTTTTAAGTTTTCGAGTTTGGGAAGTATGTAATACCAATTCCCAGACGAGAAATCGTGAGAAGCAGTGCAGAAAATTATGTTTTTTCGCCAGAATGGGGACGTCCTACGCTTACGGAAAATTTACAGTCTTCACTTTATCTTCCTAATTCAGTAGTGAAGCGGTAAACCGAGTTGAGTCGATTTTGACTATTAGCTAGTTTTTGCTGAATATCTCGGAATCTCAGAGAGATAGCAAAATTTTTCTTATGACTTTTTTTATAACGCTCTATTGGCTCTACAAAAAAGGTCATGACAAAAATCTTTCTGTCTCTTTTAGATTCCGGGATATTCGTAAAAAACTAGCCAATAGTAAAAATCGACTTAACCCGGTTTACCGCTTCGCTACTGAATTATTTATCATTCAATTTTCAAATGGTCGGTACGTCCAAATTATTCGGAGAATCAACTCCTGAACTTTCATTCGATTGCACATTATAAATCCTTAGTCCTGATATCTGTATTTTGAAATTCCTCCGATGATAGACCAGAAATTTGGCTTTTTTCATTACAGTTTTCGGTGGTAATTAAATTTGTAATTTTTTTATTCCCCATATCAACATGAAAATTGTTCAGGACATAGATAATGCCCTCCAATATCAAATGTATCAAATGTATAAAACCTCAAAGGCCTCAGTCAATTATTTCAGTGCCAAAGGACCGTTCAAAAATTCGTCGATAGACTGCGGAGGTACCATTTCCTCTTAACCCTTTCATCGGTCTGTGGTATTTCCCCACCTATCCTCGGCACCACCAGCCTTCTTTAGATGTCTCTTCCTGTCTCTCCCTCATTCTCTCATCATTCAAAATAGGTTTCACCTCTCTATATAAGGGGATTTCAACTCACAATTCAATCAATGCATCGGGGATTAAATAAATTGTAATAATTCTCTCGATCTCTGCGAATATATAAATGGCAGCATATGGCAATTCCATAAAGCCTCATCGTTTCTCAAAAGTACTTAAATAATGATGACCCTTCGTAGAACTGGTCAACACTGCCGCCAGACTTTCTTGATTAATAAATCTATTAACAATTTTTTCAATGTGAAGAGTATAAAAGTGAGGCCAATTGGAAATTATTTACTATTGTGTACAGTAGTTGGCGGTAATAATTATTTTGTAAGACATGTTTGTTTTTCTCTTCTTTTTCTATAATAAGAACAGCCAAGTGAAACTGTGAGGTTTCAGTTTGTGGATTGTCGTCGGTATCGAAACCCCGAGGAGAAAAGCAGAATGAAAAAATCATGCGATAAGGCTATCGAGGTACTCAAAGCAGTTTATTACGGCCATATACCCATTCGTGGAATTCCCTTACCTCGGAGATTGCAGAGTGATTCAACATGATTACTCTCCGAGTTATCCTCGTATTTAGTGTACTGGTGATACTCTATGTAAATTATTTCTACAAAATCAAGCGAGTTGAGCTGAAGAAACGAGAGAGACGAACAGCTTGGCACTATCTAACGAGAAACATTGATCGTTATCAACCATTTGGATTTGTTATCTCGATATCACCGATCAAGTGCAATAGCTGTCCCCCCGAAATGGTTAAAGAATCTGAACCTGAAGCAAACTCTCTGCTGCTACCGTCAGAAGAGGAGGTCCGAGAAATATCGAATTCGACAGTCGAAGGTCAGGATTTGACAATCAATCCAAATATTTCATCCTCTTCAACTCCAGTAGAACCAGATTTAACTCCAATCGAATGGAGTACATCTGTAGAACCTCCCACTATTGATCCTGAGAGCTTCTCGTCTGCTGCACAGGGAAATCAGAGCGATAGTAATACAGAATCCACTAAAAACTCATCACTGAGTTATGAGGATTATTATTACGAGCTGAATGGCGATGATGAATACGATTACGGTGATATACTTGATCAAAACAATACTGAATTATCTGATGGAATAAATAATTGATAACAAAAATTCTTTGTCCAAAAGTTTAATCTCCCAATCGGAATACATTCTATCAATTACAACAGACTACTTAATCTATGTACACATACGCTTGCAAACTTAACAACCGTTTTCTTGTTTTTCCTCATATATATGAAAAAATAAATTGAAAGTTATCATGATAATAATGTAAAATCATATCAGTAAGCGGAGAATGGGGATCGAGTGCCAGAACTAAAATTTAAATACCGTATAATTAAAATGATAACTCGCACGAGTTGAAAATAGCCACCATTGCTATGAGAAACGAGTGGAGTAGGAGTAAAAATAAAACTAACTCCCTAGACGGATAAACGATGACGCTAGAACGACACTGAGAGGAAGATGTAAAATTGACGTTGAACAATGCAGATTGCTGATAGTATTCTATAACAATGAGCTTCGCGTTATGCAGTTATTGAGCAGAAGCGATGAATCGATCGATTTGGCACGATGCGATGTTTATTGTAAAGGACGTAAAATTATGAAAACGACAAAAAAACGAGATAATTTATCAAATGACGAAATAGAGGATGACTGTTAGAACCACATACTCAATGTTGGTGATGATCATTTGTCCAGTGCTTGCCAACATTGAGTGATCATGATGAGTGGCATTTTGACTAATGATATCTCCCTGAGACGATCTCTTCGTTCTTTTAGCTGTCAATTTGGTTGTCTGATGCTCAAACTGTGGAATATTCTCTAATCTAACATCTCCAGGGATTGAGGGTGGCAATTCACCCCTGAATTTACCAAATTGCGGGGTCCTAGTGAGTACATCGGACGGTTTTCCCCCAGGATTACGTGACGATAGTTCATCGACCCTTATGGGAATGGATCTGGCGAGGCTCGAGTCCTTGACCCTTTTCCCATCAAAAGCAATCAATGCACCAGTTAATCGATCATCAATTCGTTTAGTCCCCAGTCCACTGTTGGAAGGTGGTAAATAATAGGCGTCCAATCCATCAGCAGCCATTTCCATATCATCAATATCATCGAGTCTCTGTTTAACTTTGTCCGGCTGAATTTTCTTCCTGAGTTTATTAACATCACTTCGACCAGATCCCAGATAAACGGGTTCAAATGTATCCTGCTTCTTCATCTTCTCATCAGCACTCGTCTTTGGTTCACCCCACTGATAAGTCCAATAATCCTGTCCCCTGGCCACTTCATCCTCACGATCAACCGTTCGAATTATAGGCTTGAAACCACCCTCAATAACAATGGAATCTGGATCAAAACCTGTATTTCTCGCTGGTTTAACACTCACTGAATCACTATTATCGGATGACATTTTGGCTTCAATCTTGGCTCTCTGTTTATCAATTTTCGTTAATTTCGTTACTTGTGAATTTTTCAATGGTCGGTAAACGGCCTTTTTTCTCTCCATAAATCTCGGCACTTCCGGTGGTATTTCCTGTGGCATCGGTCGTCTCCCTGGCCGTCTAAAAATCATTACCTGAGTTTGTTTACTCATCGGTGTTCTCGAATAAACGTACGACGGATTTTGCTGGGCAAGTTGATATTTCATATTGACGTAGTTGAAGGGTCGTTGATCTGCAAGTGAGTTAGATTGTAAATTAGACGCATGAATTTGTGCCACTTGGGACTGCTGAACGTCCTGATCTGATACTGGTGTCTGTTGCCAACCCTGGGGAGATTGTATTTCACGGTAATAGCCACTCACGTGTTGAGGTGATATTAAAGATGATGCTGTTGCATGCTCAACATGATGACGCATTAATGGAAGCACTTGATGACGCTGTACCTCCTTAGGATGATTATTATGATGATGATGATGCGAAATAACGTAATGGGGGGTACGAGGCAGATCCGCGTGAGACAATTGCAAGCGTTCGTAAGTATCACGGGGATACATTGAAGCACGTGTTAGTTGAGGCGAATGTATAAGCTTTTGATGCGACATAGCGGTATGGTAATTATGATAGTGATGATAATTGTGGGGTGGCCGTAGCGTACCATAATTCTGATGGGCCTGGTAGAAATCTGGGGCTGGAGTTACCTTGCTGGATACACCGATACTGCTTGCACCCTCTAGATCCCCGGATTGCTGGTCTGATAGCTCCGGTTGAGCGTACACCTCGTGATTCTGGCTTCCTGCACCCTGGACGTCGCAGCTATCATGGACGTTTATTTTCCAGCCCAAGTAACGGTGGGTGAAGCACTATGGAATAGGAGGGGAATCAAGTTTCATGTGCAACATTGTCAGAGACAATTGAAATTTCATGAATTAGTTATTAACGTTACAATGACCCTATGCTCGTCTAGCTAAGGTCAACACATCATTAGTCCAATATTTCTATCAGAATGAGTACGCAGACGCGATGGCTTTAATTCAGTAGCGAAGCGGTAAAGGGTGATAAGTCGATGAATCGTGATTTTACAGGAGAGCCAAAAGACTATATTTGCTAGTTCCGGTCTGAGTTTTCTATAATTGATTCCTGATTTATAGTTCATCATATGCCAGGTAATCGTAAAAATAGCCTGAACTCCCGCCGATGAGTTTATCCCTGTGGACATGAGCTATGAGAGATAAATCGACTTATCTCGAGCAGCGGTCCGCTTGGACGGAACAAGTCGATTTATTCCCGACGGTTACAAATCGATTAACCGTAAAAAATAAAAACTGTAACTGATGCAGAATGAACGAATGTAATAGTCAAATGGAGAGTAGTGGAGTGGAGATACTAACGATTTCAATATAAATGCTCTTCACAAATGGAGAATCACTTGGACGTGAATCATTCAATGTTAAAAGATCAACAACTATTTTGTATTGAGAATTCATTTTTTTATAACTTATTTTCGGAATGAACAGTCAAGTCATAGGGATTCAATAGCGCGTTAGGTTGCGATTCCGTAGGTTGTCCGTTACCAATTGACAAATTAGATGCAAAACGAGCATGAAAGCAGTGCCATTTTGATTGGATCTGTTCTTTCAATTGCCGATATTTCAGTTAAGTATTAAGATATTACTATAATTTAAGCATTTTTAGTGAATTTTTAACTATCCCAAACCTCAGTCAAGAGATTTTTAATACCATTTCACTATTATAACGGAGATATCAAGATTTTCGAATTCTGAGTTTACTTGCGGTTTAAGAATTCGCTCTGCCGTAGCACTAATTAATGTGAATGGAATTTTTCTCTCTTATTCTTCAATAAATCATTATTCATTAGTGTCGATAACTTTCTTTAATGACTAAAATAATGACTCAAATTGTAGTTCACTCTTAACCCTAGATTGGTTTCACCCTCTGAGTGAATCCTCGCCGCGCGTCGTTTTTCTTTAATTATAATTGACTGACTAACCAAAAAAATTCAAATAAATTTCACTTTGTCAATTGAAGTGTCTAAAAAATTATAGCACTTTTTAGAATAAGATCTTTCCCAAAATTCCCAAAGAAAACAAAATATTTGGAACAGATGAATTATTTATTCCCATGTTAAATGAAATAGCCCATGACGCGACGTTTCCGGAAATTCGCTAAACGCGCATGCGCAATGTAGCCTGAATTCGGCAACGCTAAAGTCTACACACGGCGGGGAATCCCCGTGCAGGTGATCAAGTCGCAGGGACGCGTTTGGTGATCAGACTAGGATTAACAGATTCTTGCACTGAAAAACAAAATTTCTTATATCTGAAACATATGTTCTTGAGACAAATAATTTTTCTTCAATTGTTTAATTCTGCCAGCCATCTCAACACACGTGGGCCGAGAAAGATCTCATACTTTAAAATATTCTTGTACTCAAGTATAATTTTGTCACCAATGAACTCACTCAAATCGCGTAGAAGAATCGTCAATCTTCAAGTATTTATTGTTTCCATGATTTTCCTGTTATGCAGTTCCAATATTTCGATATGTAATATATTCCTGATATACTGCGCAACGATGAATGAGAATTCATTCGAGTTCCGTGAACCCCAAAAATTCTGAGATTCAAACCATTGAAAATAATTTACTTCTCCCCGGTAAATATGGTCTACATATTGGTAAATTTTTCTCTCAGTATGGGACTGTTAAAATGATTGAAATGTGATAGTTTGCGACATCTGAACGAGCACAGGGATAGGGACGAGCACAAGCCCATTACCTCAGTCCATCATTTTTTCTAACCTGATAATAAACAGTATCCGGAGTGTTTCTATCAGGAGTCCATTGAATAATTCCTGGCTCACCAGGATTGCACTTGAGTGACAATGTCCTTTGAAAAGCGCCGAATGAAGCGTACTCATCGGCGCCAGGTGCATTGCTATCGTGCACCCATTGACAGAGTCTCCCGTAACCGGTGGGCACCACTGCTCCCCTCTGTCGTCTGACACCAGCGAAAACTGTCACTTGCTGGGAGGAAATGAAAAATAATAGATCGATTATGAACGAATGCGTCTGATTGATCCCCATTACTCACAGATTTTTCTTCAGGAGTTTTGTGGGCATATCCACCAATGGGATCATCAGTAATGTAGAAGGGATGATAAACAGCTGGTGTCTCGGGATCGTCACCTCCTTCAACGACGAAAGTATATGTTTTTCCCCTAACAACGTTAATCTCCGGGATAAGAAGCCCATTGATATACCAAGATATTCCCCAGCCGACGTGCCCTGAGGAGAAAATTTCAAGAGTAACATCAACCGACGAAAGAGAGAGAGAGACGGAGAGAGTAAAAGAACCCTTGTAAAAAAATAAATTACCAGTAATGGCCGGGTATCCGTGCTTGCCTCCGGTGGGTCCCATCTGGGCGTAAAAAACTCCATCGTCAGGTTCGTTGCACTGAATCGGTGGAATTTCCCAAGCGTCAGTTGTAGGTGCTGGAGCGGGTGTCGCTGGAGGTCTTGATGGCCTTCGAGTTGTCGCCACTAGCTCTTGCTTGTTACTTCCCTTATCGGTATTGTCATCGTGATGTGTCTGGATCTGCTCCATGTCGGGCATTGGACAATTCCACGACGGTTGCCTTCCAAATTCGATAAACCTATCGGTCTTGAGGTAGTGGGAATGGAAGCTGACCTCGTTCCTCTCGTTGAGCGGACCAATGGCCCAGATGATTGCTTGGGAGCCATTGGTGCGGATCTGCCTGTCCAACTCGTCGGAAGCGCTAAGTGGTCGTTGATATGTCACGATACTGTAGCCATTTACCATTGCTGCGTTCAGAAGACGCACGGAATTTGTGTTTTCCTGAGGTTTAAACGAAAAATCCATTTATACAATAGACTTATGTCCCCCCAATGTAAGAAACAGAAGAATTTGCATTACGTTATGGAAAAAATTGAACAACTTGCGAAAAGTTTAGCGAAATCTGCGGATTTTTTCAAAATATTCTGCTGTTTCCTAGAAATTTCGAGAAATTTGAATAATTTATTCAATTGAAATACACGGAGAGAAATTTTCAATAAAAATTACGTATCTTTTCCGTAATTCCGGAGCGAAATGTGGTTGTAGGAAATTTTACAGAACTGTCACGGATTTTTTCCAGAGCGTTCCGTAATTTTTATCTGAATCTCTTGGGAAAAATTACGATACCGTCACTTAAATTTTCTGAGGCGATTCCGTAATGGGTGAGCGAATTGTCAGTTCCGTAATTTTTACTGAACATTTCTCTCCGTGTACATAAAAATCAATACTCTTCCAGCATTTTTTTTTAAATTTAAATAAAATCTGTAGTTGCAATTGCAATATTGTGAACTTTAATGGAATTTAATCGATATGATCAATTGTGAGGATATGAAGAAGGGAATTCCTACTTGTATCCGTATATCAGGGCAGCTCCCACGACCTCCAGAGCATTGGGACTTGGCATCAAGGAAGTAATCCACGGCATAGCCCTGCAGGGTTTGCTTATCAACCCAAGCGACAACAACGTCACCACCCACCATCGCACTGCGCTCAGGATTTGCAGACAGTCCGAAGGACATGTATTGTCCAGCATCTGAAAGCAGTATTTCAAATTAACTCTCATCCACCCATGAAAATTTTTAATATTTTTATCAGCAGAGTTTTAACGTTCGTGAGCGTGAAATTTTTGACGCCTGGCTGGCTCGTAAACGCCGTCTGAATCGGAGTTAAATCGTAAAATTTTGTTGACCGTTCTGAAAATGCTGCAATCGGCACTGGCATTTTCACGATCCCCTCATATACGGGATGTCCCCAAACTCGACAGCAAAATTTTAGGGGTGAATTCAGGGGATGATTTTGAGTCGAACAGTCCTTTCACGTTTTTCGATCAGATGTACTGCTGTCAAAATAAAGAAACTCGAAGGTGCAGCATCTGGATAATATATATCCTTCGATCCACGTACGAACAAATTTAATAGAATTACCCAGCGCAATCCCTAGGCAATTGTATTTGATTTCTATTGAACTTCTCATTAGTTTTTGGCTGATTCTATTGAAATGTTCAATAGAAAATAGTCTACAGAAAAAGTCTATAGAATTCGATTTTTCTATACAACTCATTTCATTGAGATATTTTCTATAGAATTTCCTCGGCTCAATTTTTCCAAGTTTTCTTTTTTGATTTTCTTGATGAAAAGAAAAGAATAGAATGAAAAAAACCTAGAAAACTTGAGCCGAGGAATTTCTATAGAAAATATCTCAACAGAAGAAGTTGTATAGAAAAATCGAATTCTATAGATTTTTCTAGAGACGATTCCCTATTGAACATTTCAATAGAATCGGTCAAAAACTAATAGAACGTTGAATAGAAATCCAACAGAATTGTCTAACGAAATCACTAGATGTTCCTATTAAATTTTTTCGTGCGTGTCAATAAAAAATAGATCTCTGTAAAAGGAAGTACGACGATACGTGTGGACGAGGATATCGTTATATCAGCGAATTGCACGTCGATTCATTTTTCGTTGACAGGATCATTCTATATTTAAATTTCAGTAAAAAATCAATGAAATTCAAAACTTTTGAGCGACAGAAAGACGAGAATTTCTCAACTTATCCTGGATCGTCAGTAAAATATGAATATTTGGTATCAAATTAGGCAGAATTTTCAATGCCTTTTAAAAAAATCCATATAACGTTTTCTGTCGCCGATCTATTAGGCTATAATTGAACTCCACTCATGGGTACTACTATAGCCATAACTATAGTTATAGATACCTAGGGTTATAAATATTTATAGATATACTTATAAATATCGATAACTAAAACTAATAATAATGCAGGTAAAACGAATGGTTTCAACAAAGGTTTTCACAATGAGAATTTAATGGTTGAATAATTTATTCGGACTCGGCGTAATCCTCTTCATCTTCTTCTTCGTGTCTGTTTTGCTTTTTGCCTTCTTTTTTATTTTTAGGGGCGCGTTATGTACTATATACATATATGCTATCCTATATATAAATATTTACAGAACTGTATTCATTTTTTACAGTCAAAAATCGTTACACTTGATTTTTTAAAAGTGGATTCTACAGTTTAAAATTGGTCAATGGATTTTTATAATTCCAATAACCTACCCCTTAGAACAACAGGGCCATACAATGCATGTCATGCATTCCTCATTCGTTCATGAGGAATGAATGCATTTTATATGGAAAAAAACCAAATCCCAATGGGTACACGGAGAGAAATATTCAAGAAAAATTACGGAACATTTCACGTAATCCGCAAGCGAGAATCGTTTTCAGTGAATTTCTATAGGAATATAAGAGAATAAATTGAAACGTTCAGTAAATTTTCGGATCTGTCACGGAAAAAATACGAAAAAGTCACGTAATTTTTCTGGAAGTTGTAAAATCTAACAGAAACTTCAAGACTTATTATGCCTCAGAACATGAAAATTCTTGGATGTTTAAGAATTTTTACGAAAAGTTCCGGAAAAATTACGGAACGTGTTGTTAAAATCTCCCCCTCACGGTGACTCATGGCTAGCCGTGAGGCGTCGGACGGATGNGAATTTTACTTCACTCCCAGATTACGTTTCGAAACGTAATTTTTACGTCTTTTTTCTGCTAATTTTTATTGAATATTTCTCTCCGTGTATATTTATAGCGCGCAGAGCGTGCAAGATTCCCTAGTCCATGAAAACGTCAAAAATACCTTTCCCCGAATATCCCTAATTTCTGTTAATTTTCATTAAATTCATCCCTAACATTTTGCTACCGAGTTCAGAGACACCCTGACCATCGAGTACGGATAAACTCATCCGTAGCTACTGACGTTTTCCAGTCTTAATTCACTGGCGAGTGTCAAGTATACATTCGCCGAAGAGGGAAAGGATAACTTTTACTTGTGTGCACAGTATCATCGGACAAATGTGAGGTGGAAATGATGTGGGAACAGTATAAACTCTGTGTGGATATCACCTTTCTCTCCCGACCCACCGGATTTCGCAATGAAACTTGGCGTTTACAAACCCGTATTTATTATGTTATCATCGTACTCGTGGCCGGAGATAACAGATGATAAAAATCAATGGTCCCCTGTCCCAAGGAAAACGCTCTCTAACACTCATGTGTACATCACGTCCAATAGATGGAAAATCTCTTTGCTGGATTTTCTGTTCGACTTTAACCATAAATTTAGCTTTTTCTGACCCCTCACCAGCCCGTATAACTTTCACATCTTTTTCTTCCCAAGCCGTTTGGAGAACTCGACAAGACCCATGTTGAATCTTTTACAATGTTTCATGGTCTTGTCGGCTTGGCGTATGTCTCCTCACCAAAGAGTCCCTCTCGAGAGAAAAATAGTATTGAACGAATCGACGGCTCTTGCTTCTAAACCGGTGTAACTTCCACCAAGAGCTCTTTTTCCCTTTCGTGTTCACCTTTCAAAAGTCATTGAGCAGAAACTTTTTGGCAGGAGAGGGATCCTATCTACTATAGAGATGTTCTACGTGTGGAACTGGAAGCAAAAACTCACCGAGTTTTCCAACGAGTTGAACAACAATACTGTCTCCAGCAACGGCCCATCTCACCTCGAAGGCCAGGTTGTCCTCGAGGACTTCGCAGTTCAGTTTGGACTGTAACGAGATGGAAAAAAACGATATGATTAGAGAAACTTCCTCACCATTCCCAAACTGGAATCATCGATGAGGCATTGATTGGAAAAAAAATATTACCTTCTGCCGAACAAAATGACACTTTATTCAATGTCAGACCATAAAATACAAAAATAGTACAAAAATTGCAGGTACCAGGTGCATTATGGATACATCCGATAGACTGTTGGAAAATTACCCTTGAAATTTCAAGTGAAAAAGCTTGAAATGTTTAACAACGACAAAGTTACATGAAATTTCGGTGGAATTCTTCATTGACGAATCAGTTAATCTCTTCAATATTCAAGTAATTCTCGATTTTTACGTCCATACCGCATTGAAAAACCAATCTATTGAAAATTGAATTGTATCTAATGTTGAATTTTCACGATGAGTTTGGAAATTCAAGCTTTGGTTGAAAAATCAATGATTGTTTAACATGAAAAATCCAATTTTCTTGAATTTTCAAAATGAATGAGACATTTAGTGACCGCTTTCATTTGAAATTGAATTCAACCTCACAACAGGAAAAATTCAGATGAATTTTTCCTGCACGGAGAGAAATATTCAATAAAAATTACGTCTTTTCCGTCGTTCCAGAGCGAAATGTGGTTGTAGAAAATTTTTACGGAGCTGTCACATAATTTCAGTAGCAAAGTGGTACAAGGAGATAAGTCAATTTTGACTATTGACCAGTTTTCAATCGCTATCTCGGAATCTAAGGAAGATAGCAAAATTTTTGTTGTAACCTTTTTTGTGGAGCCGATTGAGTGCTACAAAAAATGTAATTATGAAAATTTCGCCATCTCCTTTAGATTCAGAAATATCCCTCAAAAACTCACCTGGGAGATGAGTCGACTTATCTCCGTTTACCACTTCACTACTGATTTTTACCTTAATCTTCTGTGAAAAATTACGATACCGCCACTTAAATTTTCCGAGTCGCTTCCGTAATCGGTGAGCGAACTGTGAGTTCCGTAATTTTGACTGAACACTTCTCTCCGTGTGCCTGAAATTTCAAGAAATTTCCAACAGCGTAGAAAAATAAAACTCTGTTAAACCTAAAGCTTCGAAATACAAAGAAAAACTGGCTCAGAGTGAGTTCGATAATCCCCCATTTGAATTGTCTCTGCCCTCTTGTATCACAGTCCTCTTCATTACTTGACAATATTCCTTTTTCCCCTGCCATCTCCCTCTTTCGTTTGTGGCTCTTTCGCCCATCATCCAGTAGACATTTCAATTTACCAACGCGGGTACAAGGCGCGTAATCAAGGGTGTCGTCGCACGCGCATTTCCGTGCCCGAGATTGTATAGGCACGCGAATAAACGGGAAGAGCACAGAGAGACAGTGAGCAAGAGGGTTGGTACATGGTACGTGGTGGTGCATATATGGCGACTCTACCCTCCCATCGTTCCTCGTGAAGATGCCTGTATATGTAAGTGTCCCTCCTCTCTTCTGCCCTACGTGCCAGGGCTTTATCCAAACGATTATGCGCATGTACAACGGCATGTTTCACGTGCCTCCTCCACGTGTATATGCAATCGTGAATGTATTTCGTATTATACCTGGAATACCCACTGTGTGAAGCCTAGTGCTTTTAGATAGATAATATAAATTCTATGTCGGTAATAAATATAGCCCTTCGCTCATTGAATAAATAAGGCTTTACATATTGACCTTGGGAATACGTTTTTCGTTTTTTTTTAAAGCTAGTACTTTCAAATGCAAGGTAAATCGGAATAATCAACCCTTGTTTAACGTATTTGTCCTCTTTCGGAGGGGATTTTACCCTCTTCCTATAAAAAGGGCCATTCAAATATTGATTCACGCGATTAGTGGACTTTTTAGATCCCCCCGCCCCTGTTATGGCAATTTTTTTATTCTTCTTATAAAATTCATTTAAACAAAGAGAATAAGAAAAAGAAGGCAAAGGAGTAACTGAATAATTGAATCTTTACGGAGTGCACTTTGAACACTCCGTAACTTATTAAAATGTTGTCATCGCGACATTCTGAAATTTCTCTCTATGAACCTTTGGGATAGTTTGGAGAACTTGTGAAACCACTGTTTTTCCGGGAGAAAAGGGCGGCCGCGAAGATAATTGCATTTGCGAGTTCTTTGATGGAAAATTGGAAAAAATACCGTGTGACATCACAACGTAAGCAACCCCGCGAGGAGTTATTCACTATCGAATATCGTGACACAATGATTGCTGATTTCAACACGGAGAGAAATTTTTGATAAAAATTACCCTACCGTTCTATAAAAGTGTATCATGAGTCATCGTTTCTTCATTTCTATCCCGAAATTTAGTAAAAATTAATATATGATGATCAAATTTTATTCTGCGTTAGCGAAATTTTATCCTGATTAAAATAAAAATTACCGCGCCGGGAGAGTATAAATTACTGTACCGGTACAGTAAAATTTACCAACCGTTCTAGAATTTTCGTTGTTATCTACATAAAAATTACTGGACTGGAAGGGTAAAATTTATTATGCGTCAGGGTAAAATTTTTTTTACGTAGAATAAAATTTGATCATCATATATTAATTTGTACTAAATTTCGGGATAGAAATGAAGAAACGATGACTCATGAAACACTTTTATAGAACGGTAGGTTAATTTTTATCAAGAATTTCTCTCCGTGAAGTCACTTCAAAGTGATTTCACGTGATTTCAAGGAATAATTGATTTTGAGTGATTTCATAGGATTTTGGCTCCGATTTCATGATTTCAAATGATTTCCACTGATGTCAAATGATATCATATCCGCCAAAACGTGTCGAGTCGATAATAAATTTTGATTTTTTTTTCTATACGTTTCAAAATAAAATTTCTCATCCCACCGATTCGGTGATTGCAAGTTATTTTATATGAAATCACATGCAATCGCTGAAATCACATGATTTCACTGATTTCATTCGATTTCAACTGATTTTGCGTGATTTCAGAACTGATTTCATCTAATTTTATCCCAGAATGAGTGATTTTACCAGTGAAAATCCTCTCACCCCTTCCCCCTTCGTCCCACACCATCAACTACCTCCCCCTTTCCCCTAACCATGTGACATAATATTTAAATGGCCCCAAAGATGAAATAACACACTCTAGGAGTGATTTACACCCGGAAAGGATAGAAATCTCCTTTCCGAAATGTTTCTGACATTTGTTAATAATTTATAAATGTTACAAGAACCTCAACAACAAACATCATCCAAAAGATTTATGACCCCAAGGGTCACAAGGGTCACAAATATCGAAACACTGACACATCCTCGAGAAATACACTAATCAGGGGTTGATGTGCCCTAATCGAATTTTTATCGTGTATCGCGACAATATTAATAAGTCACGAATGAATCGACCCTCTGATCCCCCTCAATCCTCACGAGTCGAGCATAAGAGTGCGGCTGCTGTTGAGAGCCCCCGTTATTCGATAATTTTGAGAATGGATAATCAACGATACTCTTCGGCACACGATAGTCAATAGCCTGAACAACTTGTACACGATCATCACGACGTAGAAGTGGTCGATACGTTGTCGGACGTTGATTTTGGTGTGCCAGCGATGAAGAGGAAGGTGAAGATGCAGAAGTTGACGAAGTTGATACGGCAGTGGGTGAGGAAGATTGCGCGAAGAACGCCTCGAGCTCCGGATCACCCTGTCCCTGTCTAATCCTCTGCAACAACAAGGACAGAGACAGGAGGTTAAACCGGGATTTGTTGTTTTCCTATTCTTTTCATTTAAATCTATTTCATTCATTGCTCTCGCCATTTCATATATATTTTCTTTTATGGGAAACAAGGCCCGGATATTCCACGAGGCGCTCTTCGCTTCTATCTCCTCCTGCACATCCCATTTTCTGGCCCTTTATTTGTTCTTTTGCTCTATCTCCTCCGTCTCACGTTGGGGGATATTGAGCTGTATATGGGAACGATCGAATACGGAGTTTTACTTTCGTCGAGTAACAAAACGCTTGGTCGATATGAATGTAAAGCCCCATGAACGATCAATACACGGAGTATTGTCCACTGTGTCTATTCACTCTGGTCTTTTTATTTCCATTTACCATTTTTATTTCTATTATGTTCATATTCTTTTCTTGGATGAGGGCAACCGAGGGCGCTCCGGGAATACGCGATGAACACGCGAGTCCATTGACAGTGACATATTCCAAGTGGACGGCAAGTAATGACAGGATGTCAGCAAAGATTTTTTCTTCCTCATAACCCAGTGAATTCAATTTTTTCACGCGACAAAGAGGTGAATAACGGAGTAAAATGAAAAGGTAAGTACATAATTCAGTGAAATAAGGTCATTGCGTGGGTGGCTCTAGAATTTCCAAGGGTCCTTTGCGCTCTCAGTGAAACGCAACGCGCAAAGTAACACATTCACGGGTAAAAAGGTGAATTTTCCTTTGATCCGTCTCTTCGAGCGCCTTGAACCATCCACGATGGTACACCTTTTAGTTGAATTACCGTCATGACCCCCTCCCCGGGGGGGGGGGAAGTGCACAAGTTACAACAATGTCACATTACCTGAGGCGAAACGCCCAGCATCTTGAGGGATGGTGGTACATTGAGAGCTTGTGGAATTTCAATGTGGCCAAAGTCAACGGCGAATGCCTCACACCAGACACCAAAGTGACCGATCTCATGTACAGTGAGGTCACCTGGTAATGTCAGGACAATTGTTTTTCTGTCGTACGGGCGCAGTGGTTTTACTTTTCCGTTCTCGTCGGGCACACGTATGCCTTGGGAGGACGGGTGGGGCCCAGCTCCAACCCAGAATTTCGCGTCTAGAAAATAATGAGGATGGAATTAATTGCGATGGGATAATTACAGTGATTTGACAAAGGAAATGCTTCTCTATTTTTTTTGTCCCCGACGATAATGTGGGGGTCGGGCTTATGAGCTCGTCTGAGGCTAAGCTGACTTGAAAGTGAATGGAGAAAAGTTTAAATTTTTTTACTCAAAAGTGGGGTAAAAAGGTGGGGTTTTATGAAACTGAAGGCTTTATAAATACTCAGAAAATCTCAATGAATCGGGGAATATTACTAGGGTGAATCGGTCTAGAAAATGAAAGAATCACCTGAATGGGAATGTGATGGCTTCTATACCTTCGAGAATGTTTTAATTGGCAGAGAAAAATTATTCGGAGGGAAAATAACGAAACAAAGAATAATTGAATTAAGAAACAGTTGAATGATCACATGATTATACACGAGTAATACTATTGAAAAATGGAATAATCATTGCAATTTTCGTTTTATTATTTATGGAATACACTGTTAAAAATTTTCGTCTGAATTTTCCGCGCCAAGTTCCGGCAATTTTTATCGTGTTCACGTTCCACTGAAATTTCAGGAAATCTTGTCATTGAATTATTCAGTGAAAATTCAGAAAAATCAGGAAAATTCAGGGAAAAATTGAAAATTCATGTCATTTTGTTTCCGAATATTCATGTTCCACTGACAATTCAATCAAGTTGTGAAATTTCCATCTTACTCCCACTGAAAACATGACTTTCCGTGAATTCTACTTAAAACTTGAAATGTCATAACCATTTTTTCCCAGATCCAATTCAATGTCACTCACATGAAGTTTACTATAATATCTTCCATAAAATTTCAAAAAATTCCTAACAGTGTATTCAAAGGAAGTAGAAAACGTCCAGAAACTAATCCCCGTCGAGAAATTGACCTGTTTACCCTAGATCGAAAAGAACGAAACGAAAAGAACGAAATCCATCCTTAATTTTTCCTCTTTGACGGGAGTTTGAATTCACAATTCACGAATCAACGGATTATTAACCTGGTGCTTCTCCATCATAACTGAAACCCGGTATCAGCAATGTCTGAGCGTCAACAACCACGACTGGCTCGGAACTGACACCATGAACTCCATTCAGCGGTGCGAGTTTCTGTGGTTTCGGATAGTCGAAACCCCTCGGTATTCTCACGTCTCCAAAGTTCACCTGGGAATTCATAGAAAAAACTTCAAGTATTACAATGACACACCGAGAGGATAAAAAAAAATTGTACAGTATTATCGTTCTATATTATAAAAATTCAAATCGACTTCTGGTGGTGAAAATTTGGTACTTGCAATTAAGACTCCAGCATTAAGGGTGAGAAATGAAGGGTCATAAAGTAAGGGCCACGACGATCAAAATAAGGGTCACGAGGGTTATAATGAGGGTCAGAATAAGGGTTACGAAGGTTATTTTAAGGGTCACAGGGGTTATAATAAGGGTCAGAATAAGGGTTACGAAGGTTAGATTAAGGGTCTCAAGGATCAGATTCAGGGTTGCAAGGGTCAGAATAAGAGGCATTGTTAAAATAAGGATCCGAATAAGGATCGCGGCAGTCAGATTAAGGATTACAAGGGTCTAAATAAGGGTCATTGTCAAAATAAGGGTCAAAAACCAAGAATCATATGTTAAGGGTCACAATAAGGGTCAGATTAAGGGTTACGAAGGTCAGATTAAGGGTCTCCAGGATCAGATTAAGGGTCGCAAGGGTCAGAATAAGAGTCATGGTTAAAATAAGGATCCGAATAAGGATCGCGGCAGTCAGATTAAGGATTACAAGGGTCTAAATAAGGGTCATTGTCAAAATAAGGGTCAAAAACCAAGAATCATATGTTAAGGGTCACAATAAGGGTCAGATTAAGGGTTACGAAGGTCAGATTAAGGGTCTCCAGGATCAGATTAAGGGTCGCAAGGGTCAGAATAAGAGTCATGGTTAAAATAAGGATCCGAATAAGGATCACGCCAGTCAGATTAAGGATTACAAGGGTTTAAATAAGGGTCATTGTGAAAATAAGGGTCAAAAACCAAGAATCATAAATTAAGGGTCACAATAAGGGTCAGATTAAGGGTTACGAATGTTAGATTAAGGGTCACAAGGGTCAGATTAAGGGTTACAAGGGTCAGAATAAGGGTAATGGGGGCTAAGTAAGCGTTAAAAATAAAGGGTCAGAAACTCAAGGTCACAAGGGTCATGGGTGTCTTATGGGGGTTCGCGAGCGGAGCGAGCTGGGAGCGTAGCCCCCTAGTTTGTGATAAAAATGATGACACGATGATGGCTTTCCCTTTTCCGTGATCATCTGCAGGTTAAAACGGAAATACACGAGCATCGATGGCATTGAGTCCGAGACCATTGTACAACTCGCGGTCGCTCCACTTTAAAGACCTTGGAGAGCGAAACAGGAATTTTACGGTCTTACCAGCGTCTCTCTATACATGCGCGCACACCCAGAACCGGAATTAACGCGCCGTGAAAGTTACCTATGTTACGATACTCGAGTTTTATTGATAAAAAATCCCCGCCGAGTAATAGAGGGTATTTTTCGTCGATTCATGCGCAATGATATAGACAATTGACATTGCTGATACTCACGGAGAAGTCATCACACCAAATGGCAAACCATTTTATGTTGTTCAAGGTCTTTCCCTCGGGGAGGGTCAAGGTGATACCCTGTTTTCTGTATCGACGAAGTGGACCAGACATTCCCCGTTCATCTCTAACCCTGAATCCATTGGTAATCGGTGATTTTGAATTTCCGGCGTAAAAGTAGGCAGCTGAAGAGCATAAAAAACAGAAAAAAATACTGTCATCAATGGTTCTTTCCATTTGGTATTCTGTTGCACGGGAAAGTTCATAAGAAATCGACCTGAGGGAAAGTCGGATGAAAGTTATCCTGTTATTCATGATGAACTTATTTCATTACAAGTAAGAAATTACTGGCTGCTGATGTTATTTTGTACATTGTACAATTTTTTTTCCCAGAACTACTCAACAATAACCGAGTGAAAAAAAATTACCATTCAATCTCTGTGGAAATTCATCCAGTGTGCACATGACTGGATGGGAGATGGAAATGCCCAATGGCGAAATAATAATACAAAGTAAATATTGGTGATGGAAAAAAATTCAAACCAGGAGAGAATCTCCCGCCCAGAGCATTCGGTTAATGGGAGAATTTGAATGTAATGTGATACGCGAGTGAAGCGTAAATTCGCGAGGGAAAGATGGCCTGTAAATGTCGTTGAAATTCCAGGATTGGAAACCTGGGGTGCAATGAGGTTCAAAGAAGAGTGACAATTGGCGGACTGACCTGGACCCTCGCCATCATACGTTAAATCCTTGATGAAGAGTGTTCTGGCATCGACCGCATAAACCTCACCGCTGACTTGATGATTCAACTCCGATAACTTGCCAATCAGCTTCCCATAGTACTCGGCACAGCACGCCTCTGCAACACAATAATATATATTTTTTTTAATTACGGCCTTCGGATCCCTTTTTCGGGCCCCAGTCGGCGCTTCTGGCCAACCCTATGCATGCAGCTGTGGATTCTACACTGCACCGCATTCGCACTCGTTTACACTGAGAGAAAAATCTGAAGTTCGATTTACAATAAGAAAATAGTTGAGGCATTTTGGTGAACGATACGATTTTTTTTTATTACGATAATTTTTGAAAATCAAAATGCAGTTAAACTACCCAAAGTTCAACAGTAACCACGACAAATCTATCGTGAGGAGAACTATAAAATAGTTGCAATGACTACATTCCATTGTAGTAATTACTTCTCCGGCCATAGTTACCGTAACCCATGAAAAATTGTTGAGGACTTTTGACTATAATTCGATGGTGATGGAATATAGTCAGAAGAATTATATTTTTCTCTCAGTGTAGAACGTAGGTCCACAGCAAAAACAAATGTCTGAATTTTACACAACTTTTGTAGATATTTTATCAAGAAAACACTTGAAACGAAAAAGTTTTGCCGTAAGATAATGATAATTCCTAATATTTTTTATAATTCGAAAATATTCTGTTCATTCGTTTGGCCCAGAAGATGCATTTGGCCCTATATATAGACGCATGCGCGACTCGTCACGAGGTGACATCACTGCCCAATAGTTGCAAACTGTTGTTCAAAAATAAAAATTCATCGACTGCATTATTGAATGCAGGCTAAGTTACAAATGCCATTTCAACACATCGAAAAACGTAAAATATGCAAGTTTCAGCTGTTCCCATGAATTTCATATTTTTTCCTGTCAACGCGTGGACTAACACTAGACTTGCGTCTAGCCCACTCGGCCACCGACGTCGGCAACAATATAATTTACAATTTATAAATCCAAGAACATTAATCTCCATTAACAAGTCGATCCTACAATTCTGGGCTGAATGATACCGTCGACTCATCGTTCAACAGATTCGATGTCCAAGGACTGGTACATCGTTATGCAAGTGTCCAGTGAATGGCACATGTTTTGATGAATAATCAGCAGTGAAGATTGGTACCGGTTTCATCTCTCTATTTTTCTCGGTTCATTTTTTTCACATTTTTTTACCTCTTGTAACTCGAGAATTCATTAAACAAGGCGCATTCTTGAATGGAATATATATCGATGGGGATAATGGTTGGCCATCTATGGAGTGGGTTAACGGTTTGAAAATTCCACTTACATCCCATCAACATCAATCCACTGGACTATGCAAAATTGACTCGACTTTGTTGGGCGTATTTCTGAACTAGCACATACACTGATGAGAATGCCCCGTGGTTTCTCTCCCCTCAGGTCCACCCAACACTATATGTTCCAATGTCCGTTATTCGACAGAATCGATTTTAACGACATATCCGATTATATGTACGTGTTTCTGGTTTTAACATTTGTTAGACTGAGTTTCTAACGAATGTCTCGTTTACTTGGAGTTGTAATTTACGATGCCAGCCCGGGGTAAACAGAATCCGTAGGCCTCCCTAACGATTCAACCTTCGACAGTTATATCTCAGTTCTCTGATAATTGAAAAATGTCCCTGTGGCATCGACTCCACCGCAATTATTGGTTATTTTTATTTATACTTATTTCTCGAGTTGATGAGTCACAGTCGCAATTATTGCCTTCAGCCTTGATAATACGTACTTTTTTTCGCGAGGTTTTGTTAGTTTCAGTTATGGTATAATAATACACAGATAGGAGGTAATTTTCATTCACGCTAGAGGCTCGTTTGTGTTTACAAAACACGGTGAGACATATGGGGTACTATAGCCTGATGTGATATGACGTGATGATACTGCAAAAATGGGGATACCTATGATGGAAGGTTCGTGTCAAGCCCACTGTTCTCATCTACGTAGATGTATCCTTCGATTGTGACTGACTTTAAACTCGACACCCCATTCTCATCATCGTAAAATGTCTCGTAAAAATTGAGGCACTACACTGTTTTCAATCCAGAATAAATTTTAAACTTAACGGGCGTGAAGGATTCTTGTTATTTTTTTCTTTCACGGAATAAAAAGTGAGGAAATGAGGTTTTAGAATTGGTGGAATTATGCGGGGGAAAATAGTTATGGCATCAGCATTCTGGGGCGTGGAAAAATCGCTCTAAATTACCAGAGTCAGTGGCGTCGCACGAATAGAGACGCTCTCAACCTACAAGCAGTAAGGAGTCCCATCGGAAATCGTGCATTCTGCTGACTCGCGCGACTTTCCATCGCGTTTGTGTATCTTTTGGTATTCCAGATTTCAATGGTTTTGCCACCTTTCAGAAATGAAAATTGCCACTATTTGGGAATATACTCGTTCGTTCTTATTTACCATTTTTTCGTGGTAGATTCTGTAGAATATTGTCATTATTTTGATATTTATTTCCCTTTTCGTCATAATGCTTGGGAAACTAGTTTGGAAATAAAGACATTAAGATACACTGTTGGAAAAAAAATGAAATTTCATGGACAGTTGACTACTAATTTTCAAGACGTGACACTGAATGCGATTTAGGGGGAAAAAATCATGGAATTTCAAGTTTCACTGAAAATTCAGTAAAATTCCAGAATTTTAAGCAGCATAAAGATGAGAATTCCTTAATTTATTTGAATTTCCCATCTAATATGAATATAGAGACAAATTACATTGAATTTTCACTGAAATCTGAAATTTCATAATTTTTTAAAATATATTTACCGGAATTTTCTGGTTTTCTATTCATTTTCAGGGAAGAATGGAACTGAAATTTACAGGTCTCTTTGATTTCTCCACGAAATTCAGAATTTTCAACGACCAAATTCCTTGAAATTTCAGTGGTAATTAAATTCGACAAAAATTTCCGAAAAGTGTACCGAAAAGTTTCAAACGAAAATTTTTAACAGTAAATGAGGATCTTCTGGTTCAAATTTATTGTCTCACTTTTCGCTAAATACTTCATTCATATTTTTCCAGTGGTCGACCATGTTGCGTGAAAAGAGCTAATCATTTCTTCACTGATATTGTGATTACCATAAAAATAGCGGTCATGTAACAGAATTTGAAGGGAGTTAGCTAAATGAGGGTAAAACATTTTGGTGGTCAAAAATATCGATGAAAAGTATGAAAAAAATGTCTTGAATTTGATGAGTTGTTTGTTTCAAGACACTCGAAATTTCAGTCATGACGTGTCCAATGTCTTAAATTAGGCCGTCTTGTGGACCCCAGTCTTCACAGTAAACTCTTCCTAAAAATATGCATTACTACCAATATCATTGAAACGTACTTCCGACGTCGAAAAACTCTGAAATGCTTGATCCTCTGACATTTACAAGAGGAGAAAGCAAAGAGTCGTAATTGATCCGAGTGGTATCCATACACACGTTTATATGTGTTGCAACTGTCCATATAAATACGCTGAACGTCTCTCTCCGAATACAGGGAGAAATGCTTTACACGAAGAGAACCGAACATTCCATTTGCATCGATGATATTTAATCATCAGTAAATGATACATATTAATTAAAATTATTTCCATCGTCTGAAGTCATCCGAATACATCAACTCCCGATGGATTCGTCATTCAATCTGTCAGTGAATGATAGAGATGATTAAATTCTTTCATTCGAGCGGAACTGGTTTTGTGATTACAGTGAACATCTTTAAAAAAGTGAAAATGTGATAATCCATTAGCTTAAATGTTTAAACGAGCCTTCACTTTTATTTCTAAAATTCGAAATCAGGGAAAATGAAATTTTTCTATTTCCCTTTCTCTCCAAAAGTTCATCCCAGGTTAATAACACTCAACTAGTCTCCCTTTGATAAATCAAACTGTTGACTAGTGTTAAGCCAGCCTGAAAGCTACGTAAATAATTGATCAATAGAGTTAACACAGTCATTCCACTATTGGCAGATATGCTCATCGTAACAAACGTATGATTGCAGCACTTTGTAGCTGCGATACGAGAATCCATAAACTGTACTGAAACGATAAGTAAACGTAAACAAACGGTACTTGGAGTGGTGGTAATTCGACACGGATCGGAGAATCGCGTCGTTACACGAAATTGCATCGCAATTGTAGCGAGGAATGAGTTTCAGAGAGGCTCGTGAGTAGCATCTACAATGTTTCGTGGAGTTCTGTTGAAACTGTTGGTCATTGATATTGCGGGCTGTGCGATAAATACAGCCAGTGCTTTTCATATCAAACGTCTGCTTGACGTTTTTCATTAGCGTTTCGCTGGGCTCGCCAAAATCACCTGTAATTTTTTCTCTTCTGGCTTTCAAGCTTTTTTCCCCTCCAGTTAAAAACCCTAGTTTTCCCTCGAATTTACGTCACTCACGCGGGGTGGACGAAATGCCAATATAAATATGAGGATTTTTGCACACACGTGCCATCCATCATTGGTCGGGCAATGCTCGTTTAGTATATATCCGCGCACGAGAAATGTGTGTATAAATTTTCTCATACTCGCTCTAGGGGACCCAAATATTCATGGTATTTCATCCCGATGGTTGTTTATTACTTCTGAATGGAAGCTTTGCAATCGTTCAAATTTAAGTTCGATTTTTGTGTTATTTCGTGTATGTGTGTGTGTGTGTGTACACTTTTAAATATTTTTGTCTGAAATTTCTGGTACACTTTTCGGAAATTTTTATCGAATTTAATTATCACTGAAATTTCAAGGAATTTCGTCATTGAAAATTCAGAATTGCGGGGAAAAATCAAAGAGAACTCTAAATTTCAGTTCTATTTTTCCCGGAAAATGAATAGACAACCAGAAAATTCCGGTAAATATATTCCTGAATTTTCAGTGAAATTTCACTGAAAATGTAATGTAAATGTGTTCGATGTAATTTGGCGAGGTAATCTGAATATTTATATTATTCTGGAATTTTACTGAATTTTCAGTGAAACCTGAAATTTCATGATTTTTTTCCCCCTAAATCGAATTCAGTGTCAGTGAAATTTCATTTTTTTCTAACAGTGTACGTATGGAACGAAGTTTTTCTTCATTTATTTATTAGCTAAAAATTTTCGTCTGAATTTTCCGTGCCGAATCCGGGAAATTTTTATCGTGTTTAATTTCCACTGAAATTTCAGGAAATATTGTCATTGAAAACTCAAACATTCCATTAACCTTCGGTTCAAATGATCTGAACATCAATGAAATACTCGATTTTTCCGTTCAATTATTCCGTGAAAATTCTGAAAAATCAGGAAAACTCATGAATTTCTTTGAATTCTACCTAAAACTTGAAATTTCATAACCATCTTTACTGTCGTATTTTCCATTAAATTTCAGAAAATTTCCAACAGTGTATGCAATACAAGAGCAATCTCCCACTTGTTTGTTGTTATCCAGGGCGACAAATTACATTCGTTATCTCACCATCAATTCTGTCGGCTACCCTCACGTTAAAAGCTCCCTCCAAACCCGACCACTCAATTTGAAAATGAAAAAAAAAGTATGGTACACTGGTGCACTGACAAAGTCGAAAATCTGGGATAAAAAGTCAATCCATTCGCTGGCATGTTGAAGAGTTGAAAAAAACAAAAATGGGATATGTGGAGATGTGTGGAATGAAAATCACGGATCGCTCGGTTTAATTCAATAAATCGATATAACCCTTTTGCCCTCAGATTTGTGAATTGATGGGGGAATTTGCAGTTGGTTAAGTAGGTGAAAATCAGGATGGATTTAATGGTGGATTCAGCCCGTTGTGAATCGATTTGGGAAACAGAGCAGAGACGCGTGCTAATTGCGGTTGAATTTAGCCAGTATAAATTCAAGCCCCGATCCCATGCTATTTTGATTAATTCGATAGGCTGCAAAGTCTTTGCGCTGAATTAATTAAGATCAATAAAAAACAACGACATTTCCCCGTCAATTCATTCGCAACGAGGTATTTCAATTGCTCCGAAAAGACGTCACGTAACCGGAGAAAATGGTCTCAATCAGTCTATCGTACATTTTCAAATTGAATTCACGTATCTCGTTGAAAATTCCACAAGAAGTGACCTGAAAAATTCAAGCGGACACTGGATTTCACCGCAGGAAATTTAGGATTGTTTTCCCACTGCAAGTGGATTATTCCCCCCCCCCCCCCCCCCCCCCCCCNTCCCCCCCCCTCCACGTAGACTATTCATCAAGTGTAATCTGTCCAACCAGAAAATTGAATCCAGGATTCAACAAATTGCGTGTGAAAAATATCGTTTACCATAATGGGGTTGAAATTTTCAGGGCAAAACACGACTTTCCAATGGACTCCACACCATCACGCCTATCACACTCTGTCTGCTTCACGCGACTCATCCATTGGATCGCAATTGTGTGATGAAAAATTAAATAAATAAATAAACGATCCGAGAAAATTGTCTGGGTAAGGAGAATATTGCCCCAGCAAATTGCACGTAACAGCACGCCGTTGGTTATAACAATGATTGATCACCATCGGCTTATCCTAAACCATAAACAGCATCGCTCGGATCGTTCCGATGTCTAGACGACTGGGCGCCAGTGGAAAATCGCCCGGAAAATTTCAAAGCCTGGACTTGACGTTTCCCCGAGAATTTGCATGAGTATTGAATGACTAAACACCTGCGTATCACAGCACAAAGAGGGAGCAAAAAAAATGAGAAATCACTCACGTGTGACGAGAAGAAGGAACAGAGCAACTAGAGCCAGGTAATCCCTGGATGTCGATGACGATCGGCTTCCCATGGCGTCGTGATGCTTACTGCCGGTTGAAAGTCGTCGATCGCTCAAGCTAAACTCCTTCCATGTCCCACTCTGCTATCGTTATACACCGAAAGGTGTTTCCTCTGGTATAAGAAACATGGGGGCACCCGCCGCGGGATGTCCAGAGATATTCCCCTCTGCAATTTCTTTCACTCCCTTCTCCAATTCCAGATGATTTCGTGTTGGAGAATCGAGAGGTCGAATGAGTGGAAGGATCACTCGCGTCATCCAATATTCCCGGACAATTCTCATGATTCTGCACGTTTGTTCTTCAAGAGGATAAAAAGGGGATTGGTTTATTAGCAATTTCAATTACCGCCGAAATCAGAGGAGATAGTCGAGTAGAAAGCATTATCTCGAGATTAGAATGTTCTCTATGTTATGGCTGGGCTGGTATGCGGGACGATTAAGATACACCAACGGAAATCAAGAGGTGTCCAACCCAGTAACCGCCTTCCTGATGATAACCAATTATAAACCTTGCGGCATCACGCTCTGCCAATGTTAGTTTTTGATTCACGTGTAAATATCTCTGCTATAAAAAAAAAGAAATGCAGGGGTTCGAGCCTGTCCGACAGACGGCACGCAAAAAATAACGTTCAGTTAATTTTTGCGTCATTAGTCTCTCTGTTTTTTTATTTCTACCAATTCCATTGGTAGTAAACTTTCGAATGGATCCGTACCAATTCCCTACATTGATAGACTGATTCATTTATTCCAAACGAGAGTCGTTAACTATTAACGAATGGTAGAGTTGAATATGACCAATAAATTTTCGTTAGTAGTTGACGAATGGTTCACTTGGAAGGTGAAGATCGAGTCAAACAACATTTGTTAACTATTAACGAATGAACATTTGGTGAGACCGAATAGACCCTCGTAGATCCTTTCCTAATCCTTTCTATCAGTGTACCCTTGTGACAGGCATACAACCGTAACCACATGATACACACGCAGAAAAACCTAAACGTAAATTACGTTTTAATAAACGTAATTTGCAATTAACGTCAATATGATGTTTGGTGGCTTTTTTCCGTCATGAAAATCGGAATTTAGGCTTTAAAAAAGCGTATTCTACGGTCAAAATAAAAACGTAAAGTACGCCTAAATAGAGCGTATTTTACGTTTATTAAAAATACGAAAAAATCATCGTAATGTACGACGATTTTGAGCGTAATTTACGATTGCGAAATCGTAAATTTACGTTTATGAAAACGTAATTTATGTTTATAATTGGCGTCAATTACGATTTATAATCGTCGTAATTTACGATTTCGCAATCGAAAATTACGCTCATAATCGTCGCGAATTACGTTTATGTAATCGTAATTTACGGCGATTTTGAGCGTAATTTACGCTTCAACTTCAAGCGTAAAAGACGACTTCTTAAACGTAATTTATGTTTAGGTTCTCTTGTGTGCAGAGTGTCTACAGGAAGATATTCAACGCTGTAATGAAATAGATTTGTACAAAAGGTTAAATATCTCCGAAATTGCTCGGCCGATTGGGCATATTCAAAATACCAACCTTTGGTATTATAAGAGCTATTAGGATCATACTAAATTTCAACTTGCTACCTCCATTTTTTCTCAAGTTATCGTACATACAAGGTTTTTTTTATATGAACAAATGGAAAACGGCAATATCTCAAATCTTTGTATTAAAGGGTATATATATTTTGATTGATCTAGATAGAGGCCTTTGAGATGAGTATTTTGAAGAAAAAAACACTGAAATCGGTGCAGTAGTTTTTGAGTTATTGAGGAAAAACAAAATTCAAAGGCGTTCTATCTCCGGAACTACTGGACCGATCGAGCTGAAACGGCGCGCCAAAGTTGAGCTCAATCATAGCTACAATGAACCAAAATTTCAGATTTTTATCTACGAATTTCCCCGCATTTATGTTGAATTTTCTAAAAATTAATCACCAACCGTGACTCTAAAAACATCATCTCTACACGTTTCATAACATTGCAATAAAAATGATAAAATCGAAAAACCGGTCAAATATAAGGCTTCCATTCTCAACCAAAAAATGGAACAAATTGTGTCATTTTCCTTGTCGCCTTCACCTCCACATGAAGTTGTGAAAATTTCAATTATGACGATTCGAGATGAAAATGTGGAGAAATGAGAATAGTTTCTGATGAAGTTGCTTGAATGTTCCAATCCTTTTCTGGCCCCAGTAACCTTGCCTAGTCCTCATTTGACAGATCGATACTCCGGTGCTGGCACAATGCCAAACTCCAGGAAAATTGCATTTCCCAATGCGACCCACGTTCGATCGAACCTGGAGACTTTGACCTGAGATGCCTCTCATCGAGTTCTCTCCAAAGCTTCCACCGACAATTCTCCACTCCTCCCACCACGGGAAAATCTAACTTTGTCTTTCTCCGTATGGCGCTTGTCGCACTTTCGCATATTATGTACCGTGAAACTCATGAATACACTGTCGGGCCGCATAAGTGTAATAACATTAGCGCGCCGTGACTAACGACAGTCTTGTATTACCGTACAGCGTAACTGTTTCAGTACTCTTGCAACACTCTTCATTCTTGCACTCAACTGAAACCCCTCAGTCTCTCTCATCCACTGAGAAGAAGAGATCCCTAGGGCGAACTGGGAATATTTGATATCTGGTGTCATCTCTCAATTTACAACTAAAAATGTATAGTTTTTCAGTGCCTGAAGCCGCTAAGATATTCGCCGTTTGGAAAATTTGAAATTTCACATTGAGAAAAACATTACTTCTGCCAAAGAATCATTCTCTTGAGAGAGGAACTGTCCATGGCCATCTCCAAATGTTAGGGGAGGATGGGGCAAAACGGCCCCCTTCAATCGTCAATATTTTCCGATTCAATAATCCGATTGGGATGAGTTAGAGCTCGTTTTGAAGAATGAAAAATTATCTTCAAAATGAAGTTGAAACTGGGAATTTTCACAATGTCATTCACAAGTTATTGACAATTGAAGGGGGGCCGTTTTGCCCCACCCTCCCCTACAATTATGTTGAATTATGATTACATATTTCCTTCATTCTTACGTAAAATCATTTGGAACAATTCTGAATGTTAATAATTGTCAATGAATTTCATTTCACTGTGAGAAAATTACTCTTGAAATTTCAAGTGAAAAAGCTTGAAATTTTTCACAACGACAAAGTTACACGAAATTAAGAATATAATAATCACCTGAATTCCCATGGTTTCTATTAATTTTTATGAAATAATTCACAAAATTCACTGTACGGCGAATTTTCTCTGAATGTTGTACACGCAGGTTTACCGACATGGATATGAACATGATAATTAAAATAACCGGCGACGGTGGCCGAAGCGGTTGAATTGCTCGGCCGGACGGCGGAACCCGTGCGGCGCGGGTTCGAGTCCGGCTTGGGGCAATTGCGATTTTTAATCTTTCGGAAACCGTCGAACGGAAGTCTAGACACCGAGAATCATCGGAGAAGTATTAGGGAAACATTCTCCGATGAAGCTCGGTCGATGGACGCCCGTGTCGACTAAGGTTTTCCATGGTTTCCCTTGGTCACCAGGAGAGTCTGTACGTGGGGTACAGCTCCTGGGGTACAATGCGACACGGTTGGAGAGGAAGTCGGCCCATGAAACCGCAAAACATGTAAAAACCCGAATAGGGTATATATGGCAATAAAAAAATTTTAAAAAAAGAATTAAAATAAGCACATGTCAATCTAATTCAACATCTCTATTTCCTAAATTGCGACTTAATTCCACTGATTTTACGGTTTTTTAATAATTATGTGCGTCAACATCTTTTCCATTGCAACAACACGGTTGTTGTGCAAGACGAGTACTTCGCAATAATGATAATCAATGGGTGAGAAGCTGAGAAACAAGTTTCTTCCTTTTATATCCAGTTTTATTGACTTCCGAAGTTACCGAGAAGCTGACCCCAACATACAACGCGATAATTATCCAAAAAGACTGATTATTTTAATTTCCTCAATTCGCAAAACCTCGAAAGTCATTCCGATGCATTAATTGGAGTTAAATATCTGGATATTTCCACTCGCATGATCTCACCTTCTTTTAATGAAAGACAAATTCCCCAAGTAGAATACCGAGTACATATCGTTGCAGATCTATCCGGAGGCCACTGATATTTAATACTTTCACTTGAACTCCTTGACCCGCGCACAATTGTGCGAATGCCCAGCAGCAGCCGCGCGTGTGTGTGTGTTCGTTGTGAAAGTGAAGGAAAAAATATAATAACATAATAAAATATCCGTTCATTCTGAATGGGTTTCTTTCAGGAATGAACGTTTCTCCCACTCGAAGGGAGCTTCGGCGCCTTCCGATAGATCCTCTTGGGTAATCCTTTATCATTCTGAATGTACCGGCTCGCCTTCAGCCTCTACAACTGTTTTATACGTGGGAACCGGGAAAGGACCTCGCAATTAATCAATGACCCGATACCATGTATCATAGTTCAAGAGGAAAAAAGAGATGCAATAATAATTGACAAATGAGTTGATAAATTGAGTTGGAAACTCGTTCTCAATCTTAATGAGACCATCGGAGAGTCAGTACTGTTGGAAAATAATTGTATTTTCATGGACAGTTCACGAGTGGTTTTTAGGGTGATGTCGAATTAGGGGATATAAAATTATGCAATTTCAGATTTCACTGGGAATTCAATGAAATTAGAAATTGTTTAGCAACACGAGGATGAGTATTCCTCAATTTACTTGAGTTTTCAATCAAAACATGAATATTCAGTATCAAATTATGCAGAATTTTCTCAATTTCTGTCAATTTTCATGGAATGATGGAATTAAATTTACAATTTCCATCGATTTTCTCACAAAATTTTTAATTTCAAATGAAAAATCCTAACAGTGAAGGACGATTTAATTAATGAGAGTAAAGAAGAAGTTGTTGACAAATTAGATTACAAAATTTGAATCAGCAAGGAGACGAGTATTCCTCAAGTTATTTGAGTTTTCA